AAGAATTGCTCTTGTATCGTTACTCACACTTGCGTGTGGCTCCAACGATGATGTGTACAGCTGCCCATAGAACCTCTCAATCTCACTCAAAATCTCAGGTGTCTCAGAAACGATGCTGCCACACTCAGTCTTCAGCTTTGACAGTTGGCTCTTACTGGCAGACAGATCTCTGGCAAAGACTTTGGAGCCCTGGTTCCGCTCGATCGCTTCTTTAATAGAGCAGTATTAAAGTTGCTTAAGTCTTGCCGCATGAATTTGGAGATCTGTCTGTTCAGTTGCCTGTATGCTGTCAAATCTGTTGACGATTGCAGCGTCATCTCCCGTCTAACAGCCATGAGATTAAGAGTGTGATCGGAGAGTTTTTGTGTTCTTCTGCGGCGGGTCTTTCAGAACTTAGCTCCGATCGCATGGACAGTTTCCACGAGCTTGTCATTCATATCGTCCACTGCATTTCAATCTTCTAGGCACTGAAAGCGGTTACGTAACTCGAGCTGAAAAGTCTCGGGATTCTGGATTAGAGCACGAGTGGGACGGAGCGTTGACTTCATTAGACGAGACCTCTCCAACTTAACGTTTAGGTTCAGTGTGCCTCTAACCATTCGGTGATCGCTGCCGGTTTTCACCCTTGCGATCACTGAGACATCACTGAACAGTTGGCGTCTGGTCGTCATAATGAAGTCAATCTCATTTTTTGTCGAACCGTCGGGGCTCGACCAGGTCCACTTCCTGTGGGGCCGCTTCTGGAAGAAAGAGTTCATCATAAAGAGTCCCTCTTTCTCCATAAAGTCAAGCCAGCTGCTGGCCCCTACAGTTCCGTTGCCCTACTCCAAATTTCCCTAACTTCAGCTCACCGCCTTCTCTTGTGCCTAGTTTTGCGTTGAAGTCTTCCATCAACACCGTGTAGTGGGTTTTGGAGGAATGCATGGCTCTAGAAATATTTCCTCATACATTTCCTCCACCTCCTCATTGGGATGTGCCGAGGTTGGTGCGTAGACCTGTATGACCTTCAGCGAATACGTTTCACGACGACACTCCCAATCTTTACAACGTTGTTGACAAGATACTTGTGGACGATAAATCCGACACCTCCTTGGGACAGATGGTCGCCCTCCCGGTGATAGAACAAGTTGCCGGACTGGAGGATTACCGTATCCTCCCCCTCTCTTCGGACCTCAGATAATACAATAATATGCCAGCGCAACTTGTCTACCTCTTCTTCCAGCTCGAGTATATTCTCGTCAGTCCTCAGGGTGCGTGCGTTATACGTTGCCAGGTCGATTCGTCGTAGATGGCAACCGAACCTCCACCGGAGATTCTTAGCACCTCCTAGTATTCATACAATTTTTTAAATTAGTATTTCTTTATTATTGGTTGCATTTAAAATGAGTTGACATGTTTACCTACGTTGTTTAACATCCACAAATTGAAATACGTTGCAACGATACAAAAGTAACTAAAAATCACTATTGCTATATTAATGAAGAACAATAAACAAACGGAATTTACTTCGTTTATTAAAAATAATAAATAATATAGTATTTATAGCATAATAACATTTATTAAAAGTTTATGTTATAGTAATATTTATACGAAATTAACCTAGGGCGTAGCAATTAAACATATCCGTAACCATTAAACGATCTGGTAAACATTCGCCGACTTTAGTGTTTGCCAAACATTTTCAAAGCACATTTTTTAAATTTTCTATAAGTTATTTTTAAAAAGTTTTGTCATTAACCTTGGAAAATATATTATGTAGGTACCTACGGCTAAATAAGATCTGTCGGCTAATAAGGCTTATGTAACAAAAATCGTATTTATGATAACCGCTCTCGCTCACAGACTCCTATTACATGATAATGTCTCTACAAGTTTGCAGAGACGCGCTATCTCGCGTCCTGCCACCAGAGTTGCATTATCTATCATAAGATGCGACCGCACTGCACTGATAATAAAAATCAGTTCAAATAAATCTTAGATATGTTTTGTAACATTACACATATCAATCTAAAATCGTAATCTTTATCTTTGTGAATAAATGGTTTGTTGATCTTGAAGAATTGAATAACTTAGTCATTTTTTTTTTCAATTTGGTATTTCTTAAATACTTGGTCGGCCGTTATTAAGGCTTACTTTTACCATAGGCTTTATTATACTCCCTCTTAGTGTAAGGATACCGATGCGTCCAATTATTTCTTTTTGTGTATTAAAAAAAAAACACTTTCCAATTGAATTTTAAAAAACGGATAATTCAGATTTTTCCCATATTTAATTTTGATATAAGTAAAAAAATAATATGTGAATCATTTTCGAGTCCTGAACGTGTCGTCGACAAAACCATGGCCACAATTCGAGCCATGAACGTGTCGTTTTACTAACGGTAACAAACACAAAAAATATTATTTATGGTGCAATAAAATGACGTTTTGTGGCATTACTTGAAGGAGGTCTACGTTCAGCAGTAGATTTCTGAAGGGATGTGTAAAAATGATAATGATTATGATTACTATAATGTAATGATAAATGGAGCCACTTAAGGTATTTTTATTCTCGTGACTGTTGCTTTCTTAATTTTATTATGTTATACCTAATATTATGTATGTATTCAAAGAATATAACAGTTTTATCTCAGAATAAAAATGTTTGACAAACACAAAAGCAAACACTTTTGGTTAAAACCAAAAACGTCAAAACAGACGTGTTGACTTTTGTAGGTGTGAATTGACATGTTATAGTGGCTAGTAATTCATAAGCTAATATAATCATAATGGTGTATGTATTATAATAGTCTATGAACTAAACATATGGATAAACAATAGGGAATTTTACACCATGTAAAAAAAATCAAAAAATATATATTTATGATAGATTTTGTAAAAAGTAAAGGAGAAATATTGATTTATATTAATTATACAGTTGGCGAATCAAAGTGCAAGTGCTGGTGAATGTATGCTTTGCAGTGACAACAAACAACTCTCAGGGCATGGATCCCACGAGCATTGCATCAGTGATTATCAGTTATGCTGACGATACATAATTAAGGACGAGGCCTTTGCTACATAACTAACCCGAATAATATATTTTATACTACTTACATTAAAAACTACTTCCGTACATTAAAAAGTCTAAGAAGGATCTTTTGACGAATTTGTGTCCTTTTGTGTATACATTTTGCCATGGCTATTTTCTTTTTGATAAGTGACTATTGGTAATAAACTTGAAATAGTAGAATTTAATTGCGGGTACTTGGGTATTTATTAAAAAAGACGTTTTTTATATGACTTTATATAAAATGTTTCAAAAAAATTATTCTTATGTTATTAGTACCTACATAATCTACGCTAAGTTCTAAATTGGAATCATCCACGCACTCCTTATAAGTGTTAAGAAAGAAAGAAAGAACATAAATTTATTTGCCTTTAATAAGTAAAAATAAAACAACACAGTATATTACTTTTCGAGTTGGAACATTGGTGTAGTTTATAAAATAAAATTAGACAATTGACGTAAATTATTAATTTATTCTACTTTAAGCATTCGAAGATAAATTTATATATGTATAAAGTCGCAGGAACAGTTCCTTTATAAAATAAGAGACAAAAAGGCTGGTTGATTAAAGCTAATTTTATGGATTTTATAGCATTTAATTTTAAATACTTTTTAATTCCGACGTTTCGGGTGCTTTCCAGCACCCATGATCACGGGGGACTGAGGTGACCGACGTCCCGATGTCAGTGTTAACCTGGAGTACCTTCAGCTGTTTAATTATTATTTATGGTCCGATCTATGCAGAATGAACTTACTGTGTCTTGAAGTCTTGCAGTGGTATGCTTGGGTTTAGTTTTAATTTTATTAATAACAGGGTCTCAAGCAGGGGTAGTATCCAGCCTCCTTGTCTATTGAATCTCACCGCCATCCTTCACAGTTAGCTAACGTGGGCAAATCTTTGTTACAAAGACCACGAGGGATCTGTGACAGCAAACACCTGGCCACCGAGCTTCAACACGTCAGGCAGGTTCTGCACGACAATAAGCTTCGGGTCCCACACTGACCGAGTGAAGTCAGCCACAGTCGAGCGTATGCCTGCTGTACTAACATATGTCAGAGGTGTCACAGACAAGGTTGGCTACATCTTGAAGCGAGCTTCTATTAGAACATTCTGCAAGCCGCCGAAGAAGATTATTCAGTACTTACCATCTGTCAAGTGTCGTATTCCTCTACAGGATGCAGGAGAGTATTTGATGGTGAATGTGGTCTCTCATACATAGGAAAAACAAAAAGATCTATTAGAACCTGCGTAGAAAAATATATAGCTGATGTGAAGCATAAACGTTCCAGTAAGTCTGCAGTTTGTGATCATATTCTAGGCGGCCCCAATCATTACATTAGATGAGATAGACCACAAATCCTCGCTATAGGACATCGAGGCAATTGAAATTAAAAAAACATACTAAGATCCTAATTTCCACCTGCTTGGAACCCTGTAATTGGTAAAATTAAAACTAAACCCAAGCATACCACTGCAAGACTTCAAGACGCAGTAAGTTCATTCTGCATAGATCGAACCATAAATAATAATTAAAAAGCTGAAGGTACTCCGGGTTAACATTGACATCACGACGTCAGTCACCTGCGTCCCCCGTGACCATGAGTACTGCAAAGCACCCGAAACGTCGGGAATTAAAAAGTATTTAAAATTAAATGCGATAAAATCCGTAAAAGTAGTTTTAATCAATGTGTAGTGTTCCCGTGAATATAAAAAAGGCTGGTACTAGGGGCGGGGATTGTAATCAGGTCATCCGTATCGTTCTGTAACGACTATGTAAAATATGAAAGTAATAAATTTATATATATATATATATATATATTTATTTTTATAGATATATAAAACGTATGTAAAATAATTACATACGGTTTTATTATCTTAAACATAAGCCTTTGAAATAAATTGAGTACAAAGTAAATTATCTTAATAGGTTTCAGCAAATTAAGATGGCGTACTAAGAAACTGGTAGAAATCCGTACATTTTGTCACAGGTGTTATTTTGCCATTTATTAACGTGGTCGTAATGTTCCCATTCACGGATGGCATTGTATAGGTTTGATCCAGGACTAGCCGTTGCAATTAAATCTTTGGCACCAAGTACAGAATAGTCCGGGTCCAGGAAACCACGTTTAACACCTTCTTCAAGGAGCATCTTAGCTCTTTTGACTTGCAATTCCGTTACGCGAGAATGGACTGTCAATTCTTCTCGGTAGTCCCCTGTTGATAAAAAAAAATTAGATTTTAAGTTTAATTGCAAGAGGTCCGCTTGTGCTACCTGCTTAACATGAACTTTCCTCATATATTGACACAAAGCATGGTTTTTAGGCACTTCCTAGATTTTTCTGACAATAACTCTACAAAAAGCATAATAAATGCGGTGGGTAAATATATGTAATGTTCTAGCCAATTTCAAAGCCACAGAAATTTTTTTATTGAAGGACGAAGGTGCACTGAATTTTCTAAAAAAGGAGTTTAGTCACACAGTGACTATGTTACCGCCGTGATATATACATAAATATAATAACGAAAAACTAAAGTAATGAACACATAAAACAGAAAGTAACAGAGCTCATTAAACATTAAGAGTAAATTTAACAACAAAAATAGATATGATGCAAAATCCTGTGATATGATTACCCTTATAAGTAAGAAAAGATAACATCTCGCTGAACTAACATTATATGTAAATAAAATGTGATTAGTATTTTGGCCTCATGACAAAGTGGAGAGGATAGGATTATAGCATTACAAATGCCTACATTGTGATTGGGAAAAAATTTCATATCTTGCCTTTGTACCTCGTTCCGAGCACACTCCATCAAAACATGGTGCGCATCTTCTACAGTACACAGATTTATTATTTGACAGGATGTGCCCCGAGTGAAGTCTTAAGAGCACAACAATATTCTTCCTGTTAATTTCATTTTTTTCAAACCATGGATAACGAGAAGGTTGACACTGAATGGTTCTGTACCATATTCTCTTACTAAGTGAGCGTTCATCAAAATACTCTTGCCATAACCACCTACAATTTACTTTAAACTCACGTAACAGTTCGCTGTGTACTGCTCGGCTTGCAACTCGATCAGCCTCCTCATTACCCATGATGCCTGTATGAGAAGGTATCCATTGGAAGATTACCACCTTATTTAATGCACTAAGCTTACAAATGGAATTTAGGATACTATATGCTATCGGAAGTCCTCGAATACTCGATGGAAGCCGAGCAAAATGTAATAGGCCGCTCTTAGAATGGGATAATATGATTGTAATTCAACGTTGTAACGTACGATAAAGCGTCGGATATCGCGATCAGTTCACAGTACATTATAGAAACACCAGCTCTTATTTAAAATCTTACACAGATGTCCATCTGCTGATCAACAAAGGCCGCCCCCGCATATCGTTTTATCCTTCAATCCGTCAGTGTAAATCTTACGAGTATAGTGTGTGTTGTACTTACTATTTAGGAAGTTGCAACTTATATTACGTAAATTATCTATACCGACATGCCTCTTTGGGCGTTCTATTCCGTCAACATGCTAAATATTAGGAGATATTTCATATCTACTAATCCAATCGCTGAGAGAGTAAATCAAAAAGTCAGAATGGATAGAAAGATTACAATATTTGTTATAGTTCACTTTCCATGACATGTACGAGCACTGAAAATTTCGGGAATCAAGGAAGTGACACAACATTGCTATTTAAAAATGTATTTATTGCTTTTCGAAGTATTCTCCGCGAAATTTGACTCATTTTCCATACGATGGAACCAATCATTGAAACAACCATTCCATTCGGAAGTTGGGGTCTCCAAAAAGGCCGTTTTGTAGGCGTCCGCAGCTTCTTCAGGTGATGAAAATCTCTGTCCACGCAATTTATTCTTTATTTTAGGGAAAGTATAGAAATCATTAGGGCTTAGGTCGGGGCTGTATGGCGGATGGTCTAATAATACTATGTTTTCTTGCTCTAAAAACTCTTTTGTTCTGTGTGCGGTGTGAGAACTCGCATTGTCGTGATGGAGGATGATGCGGCGGTTGCAGTTCTATTTACGGAGTTCAGAAACGACCTGTGGCAAACAAATACTAGCATACCATTCTGCATTAACCGTTATTTGTCCCTCAAGAGGAATAGTCGTAACATGGCCGGTTTTGGAGACAAACGTGGCCAACATTTTTTTGCAACACTCCGTGAACGAACAATTTTTGTTGGCTTTAACTCATTTTCGAACATCCAAACTCGTGACTGGTTTTTTGTTTCGGATTCGTACGTATATATCCAGGATTCGTAACCTGATACGATGTTGTATACATCATTTGAGGATCCTGCGTGGAATCTTTCGAGAGTTCTGACGCACCAAGTAACGCGAGCCGCTTTTTGCTCTTCACGGAGCGAATGCGGTATCTATCGGGAAAACAACTTTTTTACACCTAATTGTACATGCGAGATTATTTGTATATGACTCATGCTAATGTCTAAAGTTGCCTGAATTTCGCGGTATGTCACATGTCGATCTTCCTCAATTAGCTTACGCACATCATCAACGTTTTCTTGGGTGACTGCAATTTTTGGGCGAGCTTGACACGTCCACGTTGAAATTCAGCAAACCAGCAATAAATTGTGGTTTTGAATGGGCCTTCATCACCAAATGCAGAAATCATCCGGTCAACACACTGTTTTTGTGTTAAACCACTTCGAAAGTCATCATAAATCATCGCTCTTGATTTTTCTCGAGTCAATCCATTTTCTCAACGACTAAACAAAACCTTGTGACAAGACCGAGAATCTTTTTTTAAATATATAAATGGTATTCGATTTATAAAACCAAGGAGTGTTCAATTAAAAAGATTTTAATATGACAGGAACAGTGGAAATATTCCATTCCCGATACTTTTAGTGCAGCCTAGTATAGGGGTGCTACTTATAAATCCGCCTTTCACTCCCATCGATTGATTCTGTACTTTATCTAGTTTATATAAATGAAATTTTACCCTACTATCATATAATGAACAACTGTAGTCTAGCCTGCTTCTAACTAATGAAATATAAAGCCGCTTTAAATGCACTGGATGAACACCCCATTTGGAACCTGCTAATACTTTAAAGATGTTTAGAAACTTAAGTTATACGCAAAGTTCAAATATTTTATTAAACTAAGATTGTATAAAAAGGGATAATATAATATTAAGGAATTTATGGATGATAATAACCCCTGGGAAGGGTGATCGCTACCAAGCTATTTCTAATTTGTCTTGTGTTTTTAATTGTAAACATGATTGTAAGCTATTATTTGGAAAAAAATAGTCCCGCTGGGTTTCTTGCTGGTTCTTCCCAGGACAGAGGTTTTTTTTTGCAAGCCAGAGGTAAATGAAAAATTTACTTTCAATAAGTATTTTTTTAATCTACATTGAATAAAAAGTCTCTGTTTCTGTTAACTAGTTTTTCCCTCGTTTCATTTATATGTCTACGCCATTTTAAATTTCTGTCCAGCCACACGCCTAAATATTTAACAGTATCGACTCTTTCAATACGTTCATTGTTGATGTTTAGAGAATTATTACTACTGTTTGAGTTTCTCGAGTGTCCTCTTGTATACGCAAACTTTGATTTTTCTGCGAGAAATGTTTAAACCGATATCTGTTATCATAGAGTTTAAAGCAAATGGAGCATCTTGAGTAACAGAAACTGCATCCATTATATTTTTACGCCTAGTATAAAGTACAAAAACATCAGCGTATTGAGATATAAATATTTGATTCAGATTTTAACAGATATTGATAGTTTGAGATAAGGGGTCATCTTGTGCTATACCGGTTCCTGTAAATCTGCTTACCATCTTCTGCTTTATAACCTTCGTGAGTGCAAATATTGGTAGAAGTAATTACATATTGCGGTGCCCACTCCTAAATTATCTAGCGGATCTAAAAGACTTATAACATTGACATTGTTGTATGCGCCGTCGATATCAACAAAACACCCTACAGTAGCATCTCCGTTACCGAAGCCACTCTGTATTCGTGATAGTAATCTAGTCAAATTGTCCATGCAAGATCGCGATCTTCTAAAGTCTACTGTTTCATCTGGTAAACGATTGTTTTTTTCAGGGTACCATTCCATTTTGCGCGTAATGATTGTATGAAAAATCTTGCATGGACGAGACACAAGGGCTATAGGCCTAATTAATACCTGAATCCGAGAAAATTGTTAATTTTCGGTTTCGGTATAGGCATTATTTTTACATCTCTCCATTGTTTTGGTATAAAGCTTGAAAATAAAAATCTGTTGTATAATGATACGAGAATTTTAGCAGCGTTTGGAAGGTTCTTGATCATAGAGTACAAGATGTCGTCTGCACAAGGTGCTGTATCGGACTGTTTAATTGTGTTTGTGAGTTCATGTACCAAAACAGGTAAAGATAGATGTGCGTTCTCGCTAGTAAACATAGGAGCTGGTGGATATGCATAATCAGGCGCTAAACTACACAGTAAAGAATCAGCTGACTCGCGGGTAAAATTACTTCTCGATGTCTTGCATCCCTTCCGCCCCTTCATTTTAGCCCACATTTCACTTGAAGTTGACACACTGCCAATGCTGTCACAAAAACCTTGCTATGACCTATTTTTACTACTACGAATAATTTTTTGTGCCAACCTGACCTTATTTTGTAATGCTTCTAAATTTACTGGTGTAGGGTTTCTCCTAAAAACAGCAAGTTCCCGACGTCGTTCCGCTATAGCTTTTGAGATATCCGGATTCCAAAATGGTCTGGGAGTGAAACTTTGTTGGTGAAGAGGGTTTTCACATATTTTATAAACGGGATACACTTATCAGCTGCTTCGTTAATAATATCGATGAATGATCGATGAAAGCGTCGTACGCAGTCTGGTGATCATGTGGCAATATAAAGCCTTCAAGTTTTCTGTCTATACATGTCTTATACTGCAACCAGTCATCCTTTTTAAATTTGCGTTTTCTTTTATAGATATTGGATGTACCAAATTAGTTTTAATCTTAATCATTAAATGGTCACCTCCCAAATTTTCATTTAGTACTATCCTATCGAACTTCAAAGCTATATCCAGAGAAGCTTGAGATAGGTTAGGAGCAGATTTTTGTACTATGCCGTTAATCAGTTTAATTCTAGTATGTGTCGTCATTCAGTGAAACCAAATTGTTGTCTAAAATTGAATCCAAAATTTTATCACCTCGTGAGTCCGTTCTAGTTGACCAGTTGATGTGGTGGCCATTAAGATCTCCTGAAATCATTGTCCTTCGTCTGGCAAGATTGAAGATTTGATCCCAGTCTCTCAAAGTGGTACGAGTGGATGGTGGGCAGTATAAGGAGTTTACATTTTCTATATGTTTGCAATTTAAAATTCTAATATGAAGGATCTCAATCAGTGAATTTAGCAGTTCAACATTATGTTTTTGTGCCTTAATTGACCTGTGAGTCAAGATAGCTACGCCTCCAAATCCGTCAGCACGATCCCTTCTAAAGACGTTATAGTGGCTAATGTGAAAGTGACTACCCAGGTCTAACAAGAAAACAGGGCAAATTAAAGCCATTACCTTGTGTTTTCCCATACAGTTATTACATTTGAAAGTTGTCGTTTCACAGTTAGTACGAGTTTTTTATATATTTAGGACAAATTACTTTTAGAGAAGGGCACATTCTAATCGGGTACCAAATCGCCAACGGGAGCATTGCGTGACTGGGTAGATGTAAGGACTCACTTTTACCCTAGTGTCATAGACCGTCATAAGGGTTCTTTCGATTCAGTCTTTTTACTGCTAAAATTAAAGTTTCACTTTTAACTCCTAGTAATATCTCTTTTTCGCTCGATTATAGATCAATATCTTTTATGATCTCATATTATTGACTAATCTCTAAAGTTTTTTGGCATTTAAAACCATTGTCGTTAAATCTCTTGCACTGTATAAAAGATTCAGCACTTTCTTCGCTATTAAAATGAATCAATACCTTAAATTTACTTATGTACTTAATTTTCGTGACGTTTTTAATTTCTGCTTTTAACATTTTTTTCAATCCAAATTGTTTCGGTAGTTCATCTGTACACGTCAAACACACTTCAATTTTATCCTACGGAATTCTCGTAAATACATTATCATCTGTACATCCATAATGTCTATTTGCCTTTCGCTTTTTTGAGGGTCTCTCTAAGAATATGTCATTCCTATCTTCCGTACTACACATCTGTGAAATATCCTCCATAATCACTGTAATCACCTTTTCTTTGCTCTCGTTAAATACATTATTTTCCACATCAATCTAACTTTGCACATAATTCAACATATTGTTACTATTCATAGTTAAATGACTTCTCTGTTAACATGGTCTAGAAATACGCACTGACGTGCGAAGCGCGTTGCTAGAGCTAGGTACATTACGTTATCGAACTGTTGATCAACACGTCTAGCTACAGCAAGCGCCCACGCGCAACTGAAAAATGAAACTCGAGCTGAACATGAGGTTTGGATTAGAGAAATGGGGGGGGGGAGGCGGAGTGATGACTTCATTATACGTGATTACTTCAACTAAACGTTGTGATTCAATGTGCTTCCCACCATTCAGTGATCTAGTGACTACCTGTTTTCACCTTTGCTATCACTGAGACATTAAAAATTTGTCATTTTGTCTTCATATTAAAAACAATCTTAGCCTTGACCAGGCACACCATCTGTAAGGCTATTTTTGGAAGAAACCGTCTCAACAATATATTTATTTAATATTCTTTATTGCATACCATACAAACCAAACCAAATCTACCAAAATCATTGTGCTTTAATAGCTTTTGATCTGTTTCTTAATTAATTAACTTCCAAGTGGAATATTAAAATTGAAAACAGTGTATAATTTTACCAATGAAAGCGATGCCCAAAGAGCAACCATTGTAAGTTAGGGCATGAGCTCCTGGTTTTCCCCATCCTCGTCCCTCGTACACTCGTCCATCGTTACCAATTATGAAGTTGTAGCTGAAATAAATTATAAAAATATTTTTTTTTAAATATTCCACTTAATAAAGATATTTGAAAATGAAAATGGTACGCTCAGATTATATAAATAACTTAAAAGTTTATTAGTTATGGTTATGGTTCGCTTTTTTATATAGAATAAATACACTCAAATTTGGTTGCTTAGAGTTTTGTCCATCAGCTTTAATTTAAATTATATTAAGTGTTAATTTGTTAAATATTATTGGTAACATAAATAAGAATAGGCTTTGCTTTTTTTATAGAAGAGTGGGCAAACTAGCATGCGGCTCACTTAAGTAAGTGATGGTGTGGTTGGTATCGTGAGTTTTGACGCGTTCGTGGAATTTGGCACCTGGAATTAATCCGGACAATTCCTTAGAGCACTCGCCGTGGTAGATGCGACAAAAAACTACTAAACATATCATCATGACTGATCTGCGACAGTCCATTCATAGACATAGACTCTCCCAAGGCGCGCCACTGAGCCTGATCTTCGGCAAAACACATCCAGTTGCTGTCAGCCGCCTTGTGCAGATCTCTCCATTTAGCTAGGGGGCGTCCCACACCGAATACCAAGAACCGGAATACCATGAATAGGACCATTACAGCTTTTGAGTTATTAAGGTCTAAAAAGTAGCATTATTATCACTAACTGACTGAATCTCGACTCATTTATCAAAAACCTAGGCCACTTCTGAAATTTGGCATCAGTTCATCAAAGTACCTATATAAGAGAAGAAAAAAAAGTGAAAAATGCATATTTGGTTCGATCGACAGGAATTTACAGTTACTGATGCGGTTAGATAAAAGTAGATAATTTTTAGTACAGTAAGTAGGTAGGTACTTAAAACTAACCGCAACAAGAACTTTTTCGACAATGAATATTTATAATTTAGATTAAAAATCATGTATTTGTTTAAATTAGCCAATTAAGGGATAAAAAAATGATGAGAATGAACATAAATGTGAAAAAGTAGTTCAAAAAACGTTGAACTTTCGTAGAAAATGATGATGACGATAGAGCATATTACTCAAATGCTATGCAGCTTGGCGCCCGTTGAAATCTCAACTCTTTTATCACCAAACCCGACACCACAGAAGTCGTGCCAAACTTTGTTCCTTTTCACATTTATGTTTAGTGAGGTAATAATACCTGTCTGTGAAATTGAAATACCTATTCTTAAATGAAATGAACTCAGAAGTACTTACGGAATGTCATAGTTGTAGTACTTTATATACCAAGACTGCATGGTGCGTAATTCTGCCGCACAAAGAACGAACCGCGAGCATTCAGGACTGACGGTGTGCTGGATTATAACCAGTCTCAAGGGATCGTAGCGCTCTGTTGTGGCCTGCCCAGTAAAATTTTGCGCCAACCACATCTGTCGTGTTATGTTCCATTCGTGTGGATCTTTGTGGAAATAGAAATAGAACAGATATGCCTTAAATGTGAGCTTTGAGTAAAATGTTGAATCGATCGAATTAAATTTATTAACTAGTTTATAATTAGTATCAGGCCTAAACTAGGGTCGGTTTGAAAGAAATACCTTGAATAATTTTCGAATCGAAAATTCAATTCAAAATTTCAATTTAGCGAAGACTTGTGTCGCGGCATAGTGATTTCTTTCGTGAAAAATAGAGTATAGTCCGTTCATCTTAATTTGACGCGTGAGTGATGATTACCACAGTTTTCTCAGTCGCCATCTTTCTTTTAGATTAATCGGTTGCTAGATTTGATTAGGTTAGTGGTAAAAGTTCTAAAAGACAAATTATTCTCCAAGTTACGCATTTAGTGAAAAAGAAAAGGTTGAAAACAAGCCGATTGTTCTGTTGCAACAAGTTCGTGCCCGAGTGGCCGCATTGACCGGTATGTTTATAGGGTGACCAGTTACAAAGATTTACACTAACATATATATTTGTAAAAGAATAACCATGAATAGCGATAACTTTATTAAATGCCTGGAAAAGCAGTTTTACCAAACCTGCAACCAAATTGTGTGATTGTGATGGACCATACCATATACTTTACAAATTAATAAAACCCTAATATGGCGAGCCTCAAAGCAGATTCGGTAAAGTGGCTCAAAACATGGGTATGTTGTTTTCACCAATTTTGACAAAAATGTTTTATATGAAGTAATAAAAAAATTACCAGAGACCATATATAAAGCTGACGAATTAATTAAATCACATGGTTATAATGTTTTACATAATGCGGATTTAAATCTAATTGAGTTAATATGGAGTGTAATGAAGAGATGGTTCACAGCGTAAAGTGTGGGATCATGAAGTAGAATCAGTTATAAAAGAAGCGCTTGACTCTATAAGCAATGAGCTTTAGAAAAAATAGTGCTCACAAGTTATAAAAAATGAAGATAAGTACATAAATAGTTAAAGATAAAATAATGGGTAAAGGAACTGATCACGTTTTATTGTGGTTTGGTCATCACAGTGACGATAATGATAGTGATAGTGAGCATTCAAGTAACATTGAGAAAGATATGATTCCTTTACACCTAATTGATCATAATTATATAAAGTGATTATTTTTACCCTGATTTAATTAATTTATCTTGAATGTTCTTAATGACAGACGAATAATTTCAGAGAAAGTACACTATGTATGACACTTGAAAAATTTACATAAATATAGTTATCAGCACGTCAGTAGTAACAGTTGAATTGCAAAATTAATGCCATTGCTCTTACGAAATAAAAACGTTTTCAAGCTTTAAATGTTAGCGCTAAGTGCGTTCAACTGTGCATGGTGAGTTTGTATCCGAGGATCCGTGCTTAGATGTAGAGTGAGATGTATGTTTACATACACGCTTTTTCCGTTCCATAAATACTATCCCTACATTTTGGAAACGCTTTTTGTATTGAAACATGTAACACTGTAAATCACAGTGCTGCTAATCGGACGGACTTTACTCTTTTAAACCTGAGACTTGCAGCATAGTACGTAAGGATAATATGGTCATCCAGTTTGTATGGTCAAATTCTTATAACTAAAAAAACTACAGCCTTGTTTGCATAGACGGCTCTATGATATGATAGCTCTTCATCAGTCAACCAAATATACAAGGGTCAAAGGGCGCCGCTTCACCGACGCCATTTTGATGGTTAAAATAGTAAATATTTTAGTGGATTTTAGTATTGTGTAGTTTCGAAGTGTTCCTAATTATTGCCAAAGGTTGGTTGCTCTTTTTTCTTAATATATTAGTTATGGTATACGACTTTGTGTTTTTGTCATTTCCTCCTAGTTTTGGTTGTCTTGGGCGGCAAAGCCTAAGGTGAGCATATTACCCTCACGTACCTTATATAAAATTAACCACGTTTTGTAACAAAACCGTACCTATTTACATTTGTAACAAGCTTTAAGTACTTAAAAAATAAACTGAATACAGACATAGCATCCAATAATTGTATCATACAGTTTGAATAAAATAACTAAAAGACTTTACTACAATAGACACTTATTAAAATACTACCTCTTTTTTACCTAACTGGGTTAACAACTTATGATAAAATGTTTAAATTAATATTTATAGTTGCGAAAATAGTTACAAGGCAAAAAAATTTAATAAAGAAAATTGCATCTACATCTTTTATTTTTCTAAGCATATTTTTTGGTATATTATATTTTTACGTAAAAACATTTCAAACGCTGCTTTAATTGTTGACTTAATACCTAAGTAGTTTTAAAAATTGAATATGTAATTCCGATGCCATGGATTTAGAAACGCCTATCATAATTTTGTGAATTTCTTGAGGTTATGAGCTAAATTGAATTGCTAGTTTATTTATACAACCTGCAATATTTACTGAGACGACCATATGAAAATATTTTTCTATCATTAATTTTTTGTTATTTTTAATATTACTTAGGTACTAAGTCAACAATTAAAGCAGTGCTTTAAATGTTTTCGTATAAAAATATAACATTCCAAAAAATATACTTAGCAAAATGAAAGAAATAGACGCAATTTTCTTTATTAAAAATTGTTCGGTTTATGACTACTATCGCAACTACAAATATTATAATAATTAAAAATTTTATCATAACTTGTTAGCCTATTTAGATAAAAAAGATAGTATTTAATACGTGTCTATTATACTAAAGTCTTTTGGTATTTTATTCAAACTGTATGATACAATTATTGGATGCTATTTCGTAAACGAATTATTTCGAAATGAAAAAGCGACACTAAGAGAAAGACAAACATATACATCTATATACAGGTTTAGCCTGCGATATAATGCTATAACATACAGAATAAAGTGTTTCCTAATTACATTTGCTAAAATTGAAAACTTGGATGCTATACAATATAAAATGAAAATATAGTAAAAACATACTACAATTGTACTACTCGTACTCCTGATACTATCCATTCTCAATCTCTCGATATTCCATTTCTGAAGGTTTCACTTCTACCGCGGTTGTCAGTTCTGCGGGCTGCATGACCGGCCTATTGCCACTTCAGCTTACTAATACGTTGGGCTATGTCGATAACTCTGGTCCTACTGCGGATATCATCGTTTTTAATTCTATCATGCAGAGAAACCCCGAGCATAACACTCTCCATAGATATCTAACTGACCTTGAGCTTCCTCATATGGCCAGCAGTGAAGCATAGGTCATCAATGGCAACATGCACTAGTTGTAGGATCTTGTTTCGAGATTTTGAGGTATGCCTGAGGAGATGTGTCGTAATCTCCCGAACGTTGCCCAGCCAAGTGGAATCCGTCAATTGAATTCTCAGTCGACGTTGGACTTATCTAGTCGGACTATTTACCCCAGGTTAACACACTCGTCAACAACTTCGAGCTTAGTGCTCCCAACAACTACCGGCATAGTTTTGACATGGACATTACACATGACATTTGTTTTGTCCATGTTCATCTTAAGACCTACCCGTTGGAAGACACTATTGAGGTCATTAAGCATAGTGCTTAGGTCCTCCAGTGATTCTGCAATAAGTACTACTCGTATATCGTCAGCAAATCGAAGGTGTGTGAGGTAGTCGCCATTGATGTTAATACATACGGTATTCCTTTCCAGTTCAGAAGATTCAAAACATCTTCCAATGGAGCGGTGACGAGTTTCGGAGATATTACTTCTCCATGTCTTACACCTATCTGCAATCGGATATGTTTCGTACTCTGGTTCTGTACTCGGAGACTGGAAGTCCGCAAGTCTGCGTGCGAGACGATTCGTTATGACTCTCGAAAACAGCACATAGACGCGGATGACAAGGGTAATCAGTCTGTAGTTCTTCAAGAGAGTATTTTCGACTTTTATTGAAGAATAAGACCACCGCACTTCTGATCCACGCCTCCGGAGTAGTACCTAGTGTAGGAGGGAATTAAAGAGTTTCTGTAGGACTTCAAGTACCGGTTTTGCCCCCGCTTTCAAAGGCTGCGCAGTATATTATTAATCCCAGCCACCAAAGTTCATGAACGCACTACGCGGCAAACCTCCCGATACCATCCACACCATGATGCTTGGTGGTCCACCACTGTACGTTGCACTAGGAGTTTTCTTTCTCGTACAACTTCTCTGTGGAATTGTTTACCGCTGGCGATTTTGCAGACCGATACCACTCAGGGACTTTCAAGAAAAGAGTTCCTTTGTAAAAGGCCAGCAACGTACCTGCAATTCCCCTGGTGTTGCAGTTGTTCATGGGCGGCGGTAGTCACTTAACATCAGGTGAACCGTGTGCTCGTTTGCCCCATTACCTATAAAAAAATTCCATCCTCGCCCGTTGGGAACTTGCCGTTTTTAAGGTGCTGGAGAGTCATCCTAATCTCGCTCAGACTGACATCCGGGATGTTATCGGAATAGTGTTGGATTAGACTTACTCTTGATCGTTACTTACACTTGTGTTTGGCTCCAACGATGACGTGTACATCTGCGCATAGAACTTCTCAATCTCACACAAAATGTCAGATATTTCGGGAACGACGCTGCAACATGCGGTCTTCAGCTTCGACAGTTGGCTCTTTCTGGCAGACAGATCTCTGGCAAAGACTTTGGAGCCTTGGTTCCGCTCGATCGCTTCTTCAATACGAGCTGTATTAAAGTTGCGTAAGTCCCGCCGTATGCATTTGGAGATTTGTATGTTCAGTCTCCCGTCTATCAGTCATGAGATCAAGAGTGTGATTGAAGTAGGTTGTTTTCTGCGAAGGGTCTTACAAAACTTTGCTCCGACCGCATGGACAGTTTCCACAAGGTTTTGGAGGAATACAAGGCTCTATAGATATTCTCATATATTTACTCCACCTCCACATGGAGATGTACCGAGGTTAGTGCGTAAACCTGTATGATCTTCAGTGAATACCGTTTGGTGATTCTGAGTATAAGGTACGCAATCCTCGTTGACATACTCCCAATCAAAAAACAACGTTGTTAACGAGAGGCTTGTGGACAATAAATCCGACACCTCCTTGGGACTGATGGTCGCCCTCCCGGTGATAGAACAAGTAGCCGGATTCGAAGATTACCGTAACCTCTCCCTTTTTTCAGAACTCAGATAATCCTGTAATATCCCAGCACAACTTTTCTCAAGCTTTTTTTTTTCAAAGCAACTTTTATCACTTCTTTCAGCTCCAAGACCTTCTCGCCAGTTCTCAGGATGCGTGTGTAAGTCGGAAGGTCGAGACGTCTTAGGTGGAAACCGAATCAGACATGCAGGTTTCCTCACAATGTTTTGCTACGTACGTACGTGGTAAATCAGCACTTAAATTTCAATTAACAATTTCATGAGGACCCGGGTTGCTAGCGTACTGTGAAATTAACAACGAGCGCTAACCATTTGAGCTAGGTACCATGGCACTTATATATCGTTAATACATAGTAATCGTTAATATATTAAAAATAAGTAATAATATATTACAATAAGAATATTTTAAAATCATAACGTTATAACGTATAAAGTGCAGTTTGTAACTATGTATACGTATGTATACGTACTCGACAAATCGAACCGATTACCATTTTATCCGTAACTTGGAGAATTTTCTCAAAAGGAAAAAAAATGTTCTCACGAAGCGGTACGAAATGCTTTCAAAAACTTCTTTCGTAACTAGATGGTCCTACCAGCTTTATGTTTCGAAACAAGACGGCAATTGATATATATGCCATTCCGTCAATTACATACAGAGTAAAGACGAGATCGAACTACGTCTTCGTGTCTGTAATCCCCTGATTCAATTTATCAAATGTACTCTATCCATTGGTCACCAAACACTTAAGATGCACATAACTTTTATGGCCAGGACGGAAATATTAAATTATACAAAAAATTTTAAAGCGTACTTACCCAATATTAAATTAATAAGTATAGCAAACACAGTACAGCACCCCGATTCCAATAAGAAGCTTACCTGCCATCACAACTAAAGCCATCTTTATTTACGAACATATAAGTTTTACGGAACGAACCGTTATTATACTTAGGTATGCATCAACCAAATTTTTTAATATAGGTATTTCTTTTAAAAGTAGCAAAACAGCAACAAAACACTAGCAATAATGGTAACGAATTAAAACAACTAACCAAACACAACAGAACTCTTTGAGAGCTTGCTACCAGCAACAACCAGTAATTTAAAATCTTACCGACGTCTATATAGTCCTCCGGGTTATTTGAGGCATTCACCGCAAAGTAAACAATCAGTGTGACACATGTGATCAGTACCAGGAGAGCAACAAGGCAGGAGAGTTTCTCGGCTCGGGAGCTGTTCCTCACAATATACCACACGTACACAGGAAAGGGCATATCTGTAAATCATACCATTTAATAGATGCTTATAGTAACTAAATTGGCTGAGCGATTGTGTAGCTTGTAGGCATTTTGGTTAGCTTCCTTTTGGCATCTGAAGTTTTATTTTTATTTATTTCTGTACACACATCAAGATACAGAAGCAGTCTTATAGTAAGTTCGTACAAAGGTTCTACTTATTCCATAATTTGCTGAAATATCTTTAAGTAGACACATAAAAGAAATTATATTGAAATGGCAAACTTCGTGCATACATTACTACTACTAATGAATAAATAATATACAAAATGTTACGTAAATTATATAAAATAAATCAATACATAAAAATAATGTGATAGTTACATATGATATATATATATATATATATATATATATATAACTAATACTAGATAATATAATAGAATATATCAGAGATGTTTTATTGTGTATACATATCAGAATCGCATTGAAGCGGATGTCTTTATATAATAATATTTTATTTTAGGTTCAAAGCAATGTCATATTATAAAACAACGCAAATTGGTATGTGATTACCACCAGTTACCGAGAAACGATTACTATCAGAATTACACAATCCCATAAGCTGTATTTATTCAATATATAATAATATGCAGTAAGTAACGATAACTATTAGGAGAATCATTAGAGTAATAGCAAAAGTTAGCTTTTCACATTGCGCTTAATTTTTCTTTTTTGGAACATAGATTATGAAAGAAAGTAAAACAGATGAGAGAATTGAGTTTACAGTAGTTTACGAAGCAAACAAAGAGAAAATCTTGGAAAGGACAAAATAAATAAAGTTGTATGAGTATATCAATATCCCAATAAACCATCACAGTCCACTGCTAAACATTGGTGCCCTGAATCACCTCTATCCATTGGCTACCTAGTACTTGTGTGTTTCTTCAGGTCTTCTCACTCAATCTAGTGAAGGACTGCCCACTACTGCACTTTTCAGTATGATGCTACCTTTCGAGAACCTTTCTTCCACATCGGTTGTCGGTTTTACGAGCAATATGGCTAGTTAATTGCCACTTATTCTTACCGTTATCATCAATTTAAGAATTAAAGGTGTTAGAAATTAATTTGCTCAGATCCGCGTAGTTGGTTTGGAGAGATAGTGTACGCAATTGAGGGAGGGTGGGAGGTGGTCTTCAAACTAGGTAAGACATATCATTTATTTTATTACGTGGATTTGAGCAGATAAATTTCTAACCTCTTTAATTTATGGATTTCCGGAAAGTAACGCCTGATTTTTGTTGAAAGTTGCTCTTGTTCCCTGTTGATAAATCAAATTCGATTAAGCTCTAGGTCTTTATTCTATATATACAGCTATAGGTGGTGGGTACATTAAGTAAAAGAAACGTTTAGAAATTCACCATAAAGCATATTGTCGTACTAAGCAGCTTCAAGATAAACTTGCTATTTTAAAATTTTTTATTTAGTTGCGTTTCATACGGCTCTTTTCTCATAGATAATTTAATTATATTAAAACATGCGGTCGTTAATGGATTTTTTATTTCTACATATAGTTACACAGGAAGCCGACATTAAACGATGTCACACCTACATACGCATCGAATTTCACAACTGGTAATACTTTAGTCTATTTTTTTAAGTGACACAATATTATTGGTGTTTTATAGCGTAGTAACGGTCAAACTCAAACTTTTGTTTTTCTTTCCTCTTGTTTATTATCTAGGAATCATTCGTATGCAGTATAAAATAATTTTTAATGTTGTTAGAACAATTTAAAAATTAAAAGCAGTTTTTTAAAGTTTTTCTATGTATTAAATCTACAAATTTTAACACGACATTAAACGTAATTTTTTACAGGACTTAAAACGTTCAGGAGTCATCTTTATTAACTGCTAAGAGTTCGAACACAATACAAATATGGATAGAGAAACAAAAACAATAAAAACTTTAATTCTTTCTTTTATTTTTAATATAGTTTAATTTTTCGTATTCAGTATTTCAAAACTATTTACAAAATTTGTCTACATTTTACATATAAATTCTGGTATCGTATGAGTAATTCGTATGAAATTGCGTTCACTAACGCACGATGGGAAAAACAGACCTTCCACATTTAATGCGACATCTTATCAGTCTAATCCAAGGGATATAAAGTTAGTTCAAAGCCACCATGTTTTGCGTTATTCGTGCTATTTTCACCTAACTTTAATAAAAATAAAATCGTGCAATCACCTTCGTTGCAACTCGCCTAAATGTTCAATCAAAATAATGGAAAATTCTGCACTATTTTGTATTCATACATAATCAATTTTAGACTCATTATTATTTACGTCAACTTAAGCATCCACTTATGTTTTGAGGATTCCAATGAGAAAAGTATTTCATCCTCTCCATTATATGTCGACAGGGGGCACATGTGCCCGGCTGTATTTGACACTGGCCATACACAGTGTAGTCTGAACGCAGTACTTGATTTTTTACTAAGACATCTAAGAGGATGTTTATATGATCGAACTGTGCCTGATCCGGCATATCTAAAACATAATTTCCCATAAACATTATTGTGATGCTCTTGGCGTTCCAAGAAGTCACCATAGCACCAATGACATTTGCACCTCTACCCTCAAAAACGTATCCATTTCCGCCTACTAGAAAATTAGGACCGATGTCGCCCATTCCTCTTCGCAAAAATGCTTCCTGTATAACAAGCATTTGCTCTACGCAAGAATACAGTTGATTGCAGTAATTGGATGCAGCGTGGCCGATGATAACGTAAGACAGCGGCAGCTTTAGAAATTTTATTTCGTATGGAGGCATCGCCTGCCAGTCGCCGCGCCGCAGGTACCACGACTCCTTTAGACCTAACCAAAAGAAATTATAACCTTTAGATAAAGGTAGGTCATATAAGAAAATTAGATTGAATGTGTATAGGTGAAGAGAATAAAAATAATTTTAATTGAATAAAAGCTAAATTTGCAAAACATTCTACTTTCCAGCAAATGTTTAAAAATGGCGTCGTAAACTTTTCACGTTTGACTAGCTTTGTTAGGAAGGAAAAATGAATTGTTAGTATGATCTGAAAGCCAAGTACGGAGTTAAGTGTTAAGTAAACGATTTACCTATATTTAGACGAGTCTGCTGCCTTGGCAAGGCGACGCAAATGAGGTATATGGCGAGCCCACAGGCTACTAGGAAGGCCCAACACACGAAGACAGCCACGCTACAACGCAGCCTTTTAGCACGTTTTGACGACACCAATTCTAGGCCCAGGAACCGACCTGGAGGATGTTTTTCATATAAGTATCTGCGGTCATATAGTGAAAATTTTCTTTTTATGAAGACAGTAATAATTTTTATAGCTCTGGGATGTAACTTTTATGACTTTAATGCTTTATATATTGGAACATTTATAATTAACGACTCAGCTTTACCAAGGTAGTGAATGTTGGGAGCGGCCAAAGAAGCACGAGAGTAGAATAAATGCTGTGGAAATGCAGTCAGTAAAGGTATCTACATTAGGGCTACATCTGAGTGAGAAGATGCGTGATGTTTTTGCGAAAGCATGATTCGGTGGTTGGTCATGTAAAAGGAATGAAAGAAGAAAGAGGGAAAACCCAAAAGAGATGAACTTGATTCCTTACAAGTTTGACCCTGCGTGGGAAAAGTTCAAATATGTCTTATTTTGAAGATTTAAACATTTGCAACTTATGTCAAAAAATTATATTTTTGCAAGACCTGGGGTTTTGTTTTTATTTCATATGTTATGATTTGTAGGTTATGTAGTAAAATCACTCGTTCTTGGTTTGAATAAACAGAAAAGGGCTTAAAATAATGCAGTTTTGTTTTTATTATTAAATAAACTAAAACTAAACTCAACCTATTTTGTTTCATTATTTTCCGTAATTAATTATAAAATGTCATCTAGAAAAGCAGACGCAGGCTGTACATTGTCTGTTTTATTTCTCTGGTTACCCAAATAATACATTATTATCATTATGTGGGCGCAACAACGTACTGTCGTAACTGTAATTCGAGAGTAAAGCCAATGATCAAGTTAAATAAATCCACGAAAGCAAAAACTCAAACATCTACAATGCTAAATGCGCATGGCAAGTTGAAACTACAGTATTTTCTCGCAGTTACCAAGTTAAATCTCCTTCAGAATAGGCTATTCGATAATATTCACATGTTTTTTTTTCAGTTTAGTAACATAGCCTATAAATCGTTTTTCTATGTATATATCTTTTAATATACAACATGCAACATAATTAACGCACTTTGAGAAAGTAGTTTGTTCAGAATCGTTTACTGAATCGATTCCTGTCATTTTTAATATAGGTAATTTTTTATCCCAAAAATAATTAAAACTATATAAATTACAGTCACACTAAATCTGTACAGTCAAAACAAACTGAAATGGACCGTAACTTAAAGCAATAAGACTTTTAAGAGTGCAGTTTTATTTGTATTATTACTAATTCTGTCTTACAATAAAAATAAATAAAAATTAACTTTATTTCAAGCACGTTAAAGTCTTTGCGTTCGTGGATTTATACTGTGACCACAACATTCTTCCGAAAATTAATAAATAATCAATGCATAAAAATGTTTAATTAAAAATTCAGTGTATATATTATGATTATAACATAATATACTAATTGGGGTGTCTGAGGGTGTGTGTTAATTACGTTACATATTGTATATTAACCTATAGAGATTCGTCTCTATGTTTCGATATTCTGATTTTTTGATAATGAAGGCTATTTTGTTGTAAAAATAGCCTTCATTATCTATTGCCATTGACAAAATACAGAAAAATATTAAAAAAAAAACATTTATATTTTAGCTGTAGCAAAAGCATTAGCTTTCGTATTTCGTTTAAAATACTGTTTTTATGATTGTTCCATGTATTACAGAAACAAAACCATTTATTTATGCTTATTATTTATCGTTATATTATCTACATATTTTTGTATAACTGTTACGAACGATATCAAGCACCCAATTACATACATCTCCT